GGACGGAGGGGAATGAGATTTGCAGGTTATGATACAAAATGGTTGTCAGCGTCCATGTGTCTAAGCGCACAATTGACTGGGGGGGGGGGGGGGGGGGGGGGGGGTGACATTGCGATTAGTGAAGGGAGAGGAGGAACATTGGGGATAAGTGGAGAGGGGGACATTTTAGATAAGTGGGGGGAGGGCATAGGGGATTAGTGGAGTGAGAGGAGGAACATTGGGGTTAAGTGGAGGAGAGGGGGCACTTGGGATAAGTGATGGGGGGGGGAAGAGGGGGGACATTGGGGATTAGTGGAGGGACAGGAGGAACATTGGGGATAAGTGGAGGGGGGGGACATTTTAGATAAGTGGGGAGAAGAGGGGAGACATTGGGGATTAGTGGAGGGAGGAACAGTGGAGATAAGTCGAGGAAAAGGGGACATTTGGGATAAGTGGGGGGGGGGGTGGGGGGGGGTGACATTGGGGATTAGTGAAGGGACAGGAGGAACATTGGGGATAAGTGGAGGGGGGACATTTTAGATAAGCAGGGGTAGAGGAGGAAACACTGGGGATAAGTGAAGGAGAGGGTACATTATAGTGGGGGGGAGGGGGACATTGAGGATAAGTGGAGAGGGGGACATTGGAGATCAATGTGGGGGGGAGAGAGGGGACATTGGGATAAGTGGGTTGGGGGGTGATGCTGTGTGTGTGACCATTGTGACTGTACTGCACGTGCTGCGTGTCACACACCACAGTGCACTTGGTCAGGAAAATTCCAGGAGGTGTCCCTTACAAGTGGGGTACAGCAGCACACCCATTCCAGGAACAGCAGAGGACCAGAGCTCTGAGCAGTATGCCGCAGGGACTGGAGGCAGCTCAGTGTTCTGGGACTGACAGCCAATAGGAAGAAGTCGGGAAAGTATGTATGCACTTCTTTCGGAAAGAGAAGCAAAACTCAAAGTGCTGGCTTTTCATTGCAGAAGATCATTAGCTGCAGTAGAGGGGTGTGGGCTAGGACAGGCTGTAATACCATACATTAGGAGATAAAAAAATATGTTTTATAGGAGGTAGGAGTCCATGTACTGTGTACTCTCTCAGAACGGCAACTGCACTGAAGAAAAACACCACTGCCCTGCACTCTCCTCTGCTGTCATGTGCCGAGTAGTGAGGGTTTTGTGCTGCTGGACTAGAAACCAGGCTTCCCTGTCTTCAGCTTCTGCCAGTACCGGAGTAGCCCACAGCAGGGCTAAATGTAGAACAAAACTTCTTGCCCAGCACCCAGAACTGCATGTCCTGGGCATCGGGCGATACAAATTAAACATCCCTCCACCTGCAGTTAAAATTTGGCAAATGTCACATTCACTGCTTTATAAAGATGTCTCAGATTATTTTTGTTACTGAAGTAATAGGTAATAATGTCAAATTCAAATGTAAATTCTATTACACAAGATATGCTGGAAAAAATCAAGCTGGAAAACAGTTTAAAAAGTAATTTGCTAAAAACATCAAAATGTTCCTATACAGGATATTTGCTTTGATATATAGATTTTGTATAAAATAATAGAAATACGTCATCAGTTTACAGTAGCTGTAAAGGTTATTTACCTTAATGCATTCCTAAATACTCAGCAGAGCCTGATCTCGGTCCAGTGCTGTGCTCGTCTGCAGCAGCTTTTCTCCCCTCTCCCAGCACTCAAAAGCTTGGCTGAGAGCAGCACGAGCCATTGGCTCCGGCTGCTGTCAGTCAAAACGTGAGCAGAGAGAGGAGGGCAGGGCTGGGCTGTGTGTCTGGATAGATGCACTGCAAGAAAAACAAACAGCAGAGGGAGCACCGGCCTAGTGCATTAAGCCATGAATAATGCATTACAAATAAAAAAAAAATTTATTCACAAACCATGTAAGTTCACAGCACATCAAGCCACTAATTTGTGACACAGTGGTTAGTTCAACCCAGAGACTTCCAACGCCAAAGAGACACCGTTCAGGATCTGGTTTACACATTTCGAGGGTAAACCCTCATCCTCAGAGCCAAAATATACTTTAATAACTTAAATACTTTACATTATTTCAGCTTTACTGAAATCAGCCTCTAGTCAACAGAGCCCATTTTACTATTGTGCTATCTTTAAGTAACCCATAGTTCTTTGGAAACCCTTTGTCTTGTATTAAAGAGACCAACAATATGGTGCAATAGCCTACCACAGACATGTAGTTGTCAGCATTCCAATATGCATAGACTAAAAAGGAAGAAATGTTCCCCCTTTTTTTTTTTTTACTAAATACTGCACTATGGAGACTCTCTTTTGTTGCTCACTTTGCTGGTGAGTTACTATCCCGCAGAATATCCTACCTGAGTGACCTGGATACTTGTTGGAGACCAACTACAGGTGGATTGGTACCAACCAGGATTGTAAAGGATCCAGGGTGATCCTGAAGGCTTTTTGGCCCCTTGGGGGTCACCGGAAGGAGGTGAGGAGGCATTGTAGCCACAGTGGAAGAAGTGTGCTGACACTGTCACAGATCTAATAACACCATTTGCACGTTGCATGAGCATATGAAGCACTCATTTTTCATTATGGACTATCAGATTATTTAGTGTTTTGTAGTGTGTTCACATTTGGCACTTATTTGTTCTGTATCCCTTATTCGTAAGGGTCTTTGTCATTGTTTTTTGTTGTGGATATCACGTTTATAGGTCACTTAGGTGACCCTGGCACATTGTTTTTGGCACTGCATTGTGTGTTTATTTTTGTATGTACACATATTTATTTATTTGAATTATTAGTGGCACATTGTTTTTGGCACTGCATTGTGTGTTTATTTATGTATGTACACATATTTATTTGAATTATTAGTGGCACATTGTTTTTGGCACTGCATTGTGTGTTTATTTTTGTATGTACACATATTTGTTTATTCATTTGAATTATTGGGAGAAGCGCTGCACTATTTTTCATTATTTGTATACACTGTTTGGGTATCAGTTTAGAGTGCTGGCAGCTTTACGTCAGGGTACACTTCCTTTCTAAGCGCAGGAGGATTTTGTTGTATATTTACCATTAACTATAGATATAGTCAAATCAAGGAAATGTACTGAATTTGAACTGAACTCATGGGTCAAGACTACACCTCTTGATTGTCATTGAGGAAGGTTAGAAATTAGTCAAGAGATCCAACGGCGCCCTCCCAGATAAAGAGGATATCGTCGATAAAACGTTTCCAAAATATCAATTCTGGTCTGCGTTCCTGTAAAACAACATCTTCCTCCAACTTGGCCATGAAGAGGTTGGCCATGCTGGGAGCTAATTTAGGCCCCATGGCCACACCCTTCCTCTGCAAGTAATATGAGCCACCGTACCAGAAGTAGTTATGGGTAATACAGAAGATCCATAACAAAATCTCTCTGCAGTTCCAGGATAGATCCATCCTTACCAGAGATGATTCTACTGCTTCAAGTCCTAATTGATGGGATATTGATGTGTACAAAGAAGCCACGTCTGCGCTTACCAACAGATATTTCGGCTTCCAATCAATATATCCTAATATTTTGATGACATATTTTGTGTCTTTTAAATATGATGGTGTTTTAGACACCAAAGGCTGCAAAAATGTATCAATGTATTTACCGGCTCAAGCTGTAATTGAATTTATGCTGCTGATAATAGGTCTACCAGGAGGATTCTTCATACTTTTATGTATTTTTGGTAAACAATATATTACAGTTAACCTTGGAGCAGAAGGTACAAGGAAATCTTTTTCTTTTTTATACAGAATACCATCCTTATATCCCCTCTCAACTTTGACCCTAAGTTCTTTTTTGTATTGTAATCCAGGGTTACCCCTTAGACCCATATAGGTGTCCTCATCCGATAACAATCTGGCCAACTCATTATAATACGCAGTTTTATCCTGTATAACAATCGCGCCACCTTTATCGGCAGGACGAATAACTATATCTTTCCTTGTACAAAGTTCTTCCTTTCCCAGACTGATGTCTTTACTCGGTTTGATATTCTTGATCCGTGCTGACTCAAGATCTTTGAGGACTAAGTCCCGAAAAACTGAAATATCAAAGGGTGTATTACCGGGGGGGGGGGGGGGGGTTGAACAATGAAGCATTTGCCAACTTAGAATGAACAAACCATGAAGAGACACAAGACTGATGTCTAACTGGATTAGTAGTTAGATATCATTTAATATTAAGTTTACGTGTGTATTTCTGGATATCAGTAAAGGTTTGGAACTTATTTAAATTACGAGGTGGGGCAAATTTTAGGGTATGCTCTTCCTCTTTAGTCAACGTTTTACCACAAAGGTTAATGATACCACTACCATTTATTCTCCTTTTTGGAGTGTAAACGCCTCCCCCCTCTGGTCCCTCTCTTGCATCTATACATCTCTTTTGTCCCGATGTTGTAGCTCAATGAATACCCTGATTATGATTGCCAACGTCACTAACGGTTCCTCTGTTGTCTAAAATTACCCAGAGAGGATGATGGATGATTTCTTAAAACCCTATGTTCCATATGTCTCCTGTCATCCTCCAAAGGAGTGAATCGGTTGAATGTCACTACATTATACCCCTGTGTGGGTATGCTTTTTTGTGAATTGGTGTTCCCCCAACCTCTATTTATAGGGGGGTGTTGCCAATTTCCCTCATCCCTTGGGGTATAATTTTGCTGCAAATGGGTTTTCACTTGATTAATTGGAGGTTGGTGTTTGTTATAACTACCCCCACCTCTAGACCGATATTCTCTATGGGGTGAATATTAATAACTCCTATCAAGGTTGCAATTCCCAGGAAGGGATTAATGAAATCCCCCTCTGTTCCCCCGACCTTTAGCCTGGAGCAATTGGGATGATATTTTGGCCCCCATTAGTTATTGGGGCTCTAACCCCATTAGCATCACATGAGTTATCAAGTCTATCCAGCTGCCATTTAAAGACAACATACATACGGGATTGATTGTATCATAGTCCCTGTGACGGAAGCGTAGGCAGGACAGAACACACAAAGAAGATGGGGAACACACAAAGCTTTATTGAACTACGAAAGACACTCAATCAGGACAGTTCATGGCACTCTGCGACATGCGGCTTGTAGGGACACCCACGGTGTCCGCTTGGGCTCACGGGGACTCAGCGGGACCTTGGCAATGGGGTCTGACCTCAGCACAACCCCCACACAGCTTTTAATGAGGACAACATCGGCTCACGGGGACTCAACGGGGCCTTGGCTGTGGATTCTGGCCTCAACACAGCTCCCACACAGCTTACTAGGGACAACATCAGGCTCACGGGGACTCAACGGGACTTTGGCTGTGGAGTCTGGCCTCAACACAGCGTACTAGGGACGACAGGCTCACAGGGACTCAGCAGGACCTTGACTAGGGGGGCTGACCTCAGCACAGCTCCCACCCAGCTTTCTAGGGACATCAGGCTCACGGGGACTCAGCAGGTAGCGATGGCTCAAGCACTCAGGGGCATCCCAGGTAGCTATACTCTGGGCACGCCCTGGGGCAGTTCAAGTAAGGGTAGTCTGGGCGTGCAATAGGAGCAGCTCATGACAAGGGTGGTCTGAGCGTACAATAGGGACAGTTCATGACACGGGTGGTCTGAGCGCACAATAGGGACAGTTCATGACACGGGTGGTCTGTGCGCACAATAGGGACAGTTCATCATGACACGGGTGGTCTGTGCGCACAACAGGGACAGTTCAGGACACGGGTGGTCTGTGCGCACAACAGGGACAGTTCAGGACAAGGGTGGTCTGTGCGCACAACAGGGAAAGTTCATGACACGGGTGGTCTGTGTGCACCGGGACCCAACAATCAGCAGACAGGACGGTTTCCCAGGGCCCCCAGTGATCAGCAGACAGGACGGCTTCCCAGGGCCCAACATTCAGCAGACAGGGGCGGCTTCCCAGGGACAGCGGCTTCCCAGTAATCAGCTGATAGGGGCACAGCGGGCTTCAGCAGGTAGGGGCACAGCAGGCTTGCAGGGGCTCGGCAGGGTCTTGGCGGTGCGGGGTCTGTGCCTGGGATGGTTCTGACTTTTGTGAGAGTCTCATGCAGAGCACTCAGCGAGGATGGCTGCGCAGACCCGGTCCCCACCCGGACCTCCCAACGGAACAGCTGCGGCGGACAACACAGGAGGGAGAGAGAGTGAGCCTGGTCTCGCACTGGCCTTTTAAAAGCTGCACGGGATGCTTTCGGGTTGCCCCGGCAATGGCGGGCCCAGCGGGGCAACAACGCACGCCCTCCTCACTCCGGCCACCCGCAGGGAGCGCGGCCTTTGTCTCCAGTGGGGCGCCGAGCGCGGGAAGCCTCCCCTACATCAAATATTTTTATTTTATTTATATGTCCTAATAAATGTTACTGTTTTTATACCATTCTTGCATACTTTACTAAGATCTTTGCCACTACAATTCCATGGGAACATTGCTTTCTTTTTTTGTGTCTTGTATTAAATCCTTATTTAAAAAAATCAACATTTATAAACTTATAAAAAAATTACCCAAACCATCATAATTTCATTTTAATCAATTTTCACATGGATTCTTCGATCTGTATGTGTTTCATTTTGATGTCCAACAGTAGTTTTAGAAAAGTTACTATAACTGTATGTTAATTGTATGTTATTTGCCATGATAATTGTTGTCTTCAGGCATGTGACTTTTCACAGCTCTTTTATGCTCTTCTAATGCTCTTCTGTTAGTGCCATAGGTTAAACATGGAGTAGGACAAATAATGGTGTGAGCATCCATCTAGTGGGAGACACTGAATAGGAAAATTGCTCAACCCGGTCATATATTGAACAAGAAATATGAGGACATTTTACAGTGCAAGGTGCACAATATTGTTTGTGAACACCGTTCCCTTATTTTCCTATATTCTAGGACAGGGGTCTCCAAACTGCGGCCCAAGGGCTGGAAATGGCCCTTTGCTAGCCTTTATCCTTGGGGCACTATTCCTCCCAATGATATGAGCTACTATTCCTCCCACTGACACCAACAAAGGGACACTATTTCTTACACGGATACCAATGATGAGGAATTATTCCTCCCATTAATACCAATGATGGGTATTAATGGTATTAATGGGAGGAATAGTACCCCATGTTTATTTTCACTAATGCTGGGCCAGGACATTCTTTACCCCCACTGGCCACAATCCGGCCCTTTGAAGGACAGTAAACTGGCCCTTTGTTTGAAAAGTTTGGAGACCTCTGTTCTAGGATAATAATTTCTTCATACACACAACAAAACAAGTTCAAGAGTTTTACGAATAAGATGAAGTCAAATACCTTCCATGGCCACTGAAAACACTAGATTTAAACATAGAACCTTTAATCCATTTGCTGCTGGACTAGTTTTTGCATTTTCATTCACCAAAATTAAATAGTTAAAATTAATACCTTACAGACATAAAAGTTTACTAAAGCCCTCAAAATGATTTTTTTTATAAAGTAGAATAATAAATCGTTGGTAATCCCAATTATGTATGTCACACAAATGTTGAACAAATGAAGGAAATCTATACTTTTGGAAAAAATTTAACTGAATTTTAGTGGACACAAGCACCATATAATCTCCAAATGTTCAAATTATTATAAAAGATGTGTGCGCTTAGTTAAAGTGATTCTATATCACTTTTTTTTTTTTAATAATAAACATGTTATACTTACCTGCTCTGTGCCATGGTTTTGCACAGAGCAGCCCCAATCTTCCTCTTCTCGGGTCCCCTGCTGGTGCTCCTGGATCCCCTTCTTCCGATGAGTGGCCCCCATAGCAAGCCGCTTGCTATGTAGGCACTCGTGCAGGCTTGATCTCTAGCCTTGTTGTTTGCATCTATTGACACATTCAGCGGGACTCTACCCACCCTCCATTCCATTGTCACTGGCTGTGAATGACAGCAGCAGGAGCCAAAGGGTCCTTGAGCCAATGAGGGGTGAGAGAGCAGGGGGGGAAGCTGCATGCAGAAGATTTTTTTTTACCTTAGCCTGTGTTTGATCTGCAACTGCCATGGTGCTGCACATGTGATCAAGTATGACACTAGCCATTTGATGGTTTGACAGTTTGGTTGCACAAGAAAATGTGACAGATAGCATTCCTGGCATGCCGGGAATTTAACTTTATTTTTGAAACCATTAAATTCATTAACCTCCCTGGCGGTATTCCCGAGTGTAGCTCGGGGTAAAGTTTCAGTACCAAAAGCGGTAACCCCGAGCTACACTCGGGCTTACCATGCGGCGTTGCACAGGGAGTCCCTGCAGCGCTTACCTTGTCCTCCGCTCCTGCGATGCGTCCCCTGCAGCGTCCCTGGCCATCTCCTCTGGCCGATGCTGGCATCCGGCTTCCGTGTTCCGGTCCCTGTGACGTTGGGACATACAGGCGCCGGAACCGGTGGCAAATTTGAAAATTTTAAAATATTTAATTTTTTTTTAAAACGATTATTTCATAGCAAAACATTGCTGTTTCAAACCATTTCACATACATTTTGTCCTGTCCCCTGCCTGCATTTTGACTGTTCTTTCTGCCTGGAAACTTAGAAAAGTCCATGGCGTCCAAAAAGCGTCCCTTTATGTCAAAATCAGTTTTAGACCGGCTAGAGAACAGCGATAGTAAATTAGAACCACTTGCAGAATTGAATGATAATGATTCGTGGGGGAAATTCGTCATCAGACACTGAAAATGATTCTGCGACTGAGCTCAGTGATGTGCGAACTTGGTGCTATATTTCAAATTTCAGTGTTTTTGGTTTGATTATATTATTTAATTAAATTTATTATTATTATATTATTATTTTTTATGAGTATTTATTAAATTATAATTTATGATTTCGTGTTTCAAGTTTTATCATACCCGGGATGTTTACTAGACTCTTGTTCGGACAGATTTCAGTGAGTTATTCCTAAATTACAGGCCTACAATAAAAAAAAACTACATTAAAAAAAATGGTACCGCTTTCAGCACCAAAATTCTGAAATAATCATACCGCTAGGGAGGTTAAGGTAAAAAAACCTTCTGCCTTTAGAATCATTTTATTAAACAAATATAGCTAGCCCAAAAATTGTGTGTGCTTATGAAAGAGAATAAAAATTACAAAAACTGTAAATAGGTGATACATTAGGAACCTTTACAGCTATTTGGTTTATAGGGGTTACCGAATATGTGTAGCTTAATATGTGTGTGCTTATGAATTGTGCGCATTGTGTATATGGCTTTTTACATTTTTTAAAAATAGCCTATTATTTTTAAATGTATTATTATCACAATAGGGCACAGTAAAGACAGTAATGCAACTATGTAACAGTGAGATAAGCTGCAGCTTTTTCTAATGGAGACAATGGCGGTCCGTTACCCCTGATGCCTCCTCTGAATCCAATCTATGCAGATCAGGAACAGCGAGTTCTAAAGCTGCAGCTCACCTGACTTGTCCACTGACTTCATTGATCTCCTACCCTGTCCATCCAGAGTTGCCATGCACAGAGGAGCCTAGTGTTCGCTGTTACATTCCATATTGCTTCGATCTAACAGAAGAAAGCCAACAGACCAATTTTACAACAGGCTTGTTTAACCTTTTGATTTCCATGATATCTACAGTAGTATGAATATGTATCATGAAATATATATTAAGATGAATAATCAATATTTATTATAAACTTTCCAAAAAACATAGACAGTTAAAAGGAACTTTTTAACAAATATAAAAAGAAATGACTGTACACAATTAATAACAATTATAATTAAGTGACCCACAATATAAATGATAATAAATTGAATAAATAAGAATTTAGAAGAATTGACATGAATCTGTCGATGTAATAAGCATGAGGGTCTGTTCACAGTCCTGTATATACAAATGCATGCATTTAATAGCTGTATCACCGTGTGTAGTGGGACTAAAGTACACAGGTATATGAGATCAGTTTGTGCTTTGCTTTTATTCCTCCATAGAGGTCATTGTGAATGCATAGTGAAGGCATCTCAAATGCCTCTATACACTAACCCTTAGGGTCCTTTCACCTGGGCATCATCAACTCAGTCAAGTTTTTTTGCTAATAAAAAAACAATGAATACAGATTTAGATTATGTCAGTTTACATCAGTTTGGACATCAAACAGACCTGAACAGACATGGATGTAAACGGATGATCATCAGTTTGTATCTGCCCGCCCATAGACATACCATGTGGTTCAGTCTGAATCCAGTTTATATCCATTTTTGCATCCATTTTTTTAATTGTTGCAGAAACCAATCAGAAGTGACAAAAGTATAAATAAAAAAATGTTTCTTGCCTTGGGGCCAGTTCATGCCTGAATCGCACAGGAACGCGGTCCAATCTTCAGCCTATTAATTTTAATGGGCTGAAAGCACACTGGATCACACAAGTGGTATAGCATTTACTACCATTAAAAAAGCACTGCGACCAGAATCGCATGGTACTGCATTACCATCAAGCAAAGAGTGCGATCTTCGTTTGGTGTTCTGGTGTGAACGAACCCTAAAAAACAGATATGAATGGAAGGGAAATAAATAGATGGTATCTGCTTACATCTGTCTATATTTGTTCAGCTCCATCTATAAGGAAAAGGAGAAAGGTTGCAGCCTTGTTCTGTTTAACAAAAACAGACCTGAACAGACATGGATGTAAACGGATGATCATCAGTTTGTATCCGCCCGCCCATAGACATACCATGTGGTTCAGTCTTAATCCATCTGAAAAACTGACAGACATATCAAACTGAATATATACATATAAAAATGCAGCGCTGTAAAATGATCAAATCATGCAAATCAGCACAATAATAGTCCTGAAAAGGTGCTCATTAATTCCTAGTGCCAATGGAAAGAATGCAAACTAACCAGAAGCGCATTTAAAATACGCATGTGTGTAAGAAATCCTGGAGATTCCCCTCTCTCCCTCTGGTCAGAAAATGGATATGTGCTGAAATGGATGACGGTAACGCCCTATTGTGGGAAAACGAGATCCTGCAGGTCAGGAAGCTCCCAGGATAGGATATTCCTCTTCAGTGGAACCAGGGCTGGGATTGAAATCTCACCAGAGGGAGAGAGGAGAATCTCCAGGATTTTTCTTACACACATGCGTATTTTAAATGCGCTTCTGGTTAGTTTGCATTCTTTCCATTGGCACTAGGAATTAATGAGCACCTTTTCATTACTTTTATTGTGTTGATTTGCATGATTTGATCATTTTACAGCGCTGCATTTTTATATGTATATGTTTTACTGAGGATTTTTATATGCGTTTATCCTGGATGTTCAGCTGCTGTTTCTTTGAGAGCGCTCACTGTGTGTCTTTTACCTATACAGATCAAACTGAATGCCTGTGTGAAGGCGCCCTTAGGTGTGTTTTTGCAGGCATTAAAAATGTATAAATAATCTGCAACACACAAAAAAATGATGCCTTTACTGCATGACAAGAATGAAAAATGTAAATAAAATATTAGGGATATGGGAAATTTTTAAATGTGTGAACTGGGCCAGAAGTGTTTTACTCCCAGCTATCCATCATATAAATATGAAGTAACATGTTATTTACCTTTATTAAACTTTAGTGCTGAAAATTTCACACATGCATGGTAATTTGATGTGGCACTGCCATCTTTTTACATTAGGGGAATGTCTAAAAGTGATTCTCTTCTTCTACATGATTAGAGCTGATGTTAACATTAAAACATTGCTCACCCTCTACCATCTTTTGGCTGAAACCATACTGTTTACTGATATTTTTGTTCTATTTGCTTGCCCCTTGGACTTTCTGATCATATGTGCCTGCATGTTTGTAACCCGAAACATATCCAGATCGATCTACTAAATCTTCTCGTCCAGCTTTGCCCTTTCCTTTTCCTGAAGGGTCAAACCTTTCCTTGTGAGACCCCGTAAATTTAGACACATCTGTTAGGCGGGATACAGTTGGAGAGGACACTGCTTTCTGTGAAAATAGAAAAAAAATGTTCATTCTGGTAAGCCAGTGACAACATACAGCTCCAAAAACATTATTCCTCAATACACTCAAGTTTTTATTTTTTTCTTTTAAGTGAAATGTGTTTCTGTACTCTAACCTTAGGAAACACTGTTTCAATAAGTTCACTGCAATGGGCCTGGGTATGCATAAATATTTGTCTGCATGAAGATGGATATAAGAAATATTCTATTACAAATTAAAATAGCAAATGTAATATCAGACTGTATCTTGTTGCGGAAAGAAACAGCTATTTATGACAAAAAAGTTAATGATTTTAATCTCTGATCTAGAGGGATAAGAAAATTATGCAAAATAGAGGTGCTAGAAAGTAGTAGATACAGTAGTATCAGTTAATAGGATATAGTAGGTGGCGCTAAAGAAATAAAACGTGAAAAAGCATGTTTACAACTTTTCAATTTCTGAAGACAGACAAATAGCTGATAGAATAGATACAGTCAGGTCCATAAATATTGGGACATCGACACAATTCTAACATTTTTGGCTCTATACACCAGCACAATGGATTTGAAAAGGCACATATGCAAACTGTTGTAATTCCTACACCGTTCACCTGATTTGGATGTAAATACCCTCAAATTAAAGCTGACAGTCTGGAGTTAAAGCACATCTTGTTCATTTCATTTCAAATCCATTGTGGTGGTGTATAGAGCCAAAAATGTTAGAATTGTGTCGATGTCCCAATATTTATGGACCTGACTGTATAATAGAAACGTGCAGATTTGCTGATTTGGACACTGAATTTTGTATGTGTAAATCTAAACCTCTATAAATGAAATTTAAATGTAGCTACAAATGGAGAAGTGTTTATTTATCACTATCTAGTTCTAAATATATTTTATTATTCATATTACAAGACAATTCCCTTTGTGGAGAAAACAAATACAGGGGAAGCTCTCCTAAATGTTGTCATTTACTACTAACCATATGTACCTTATCAAGTGTGTAAATCTGGGAAAGTTTAGAGCATAGGGTGGTCCGCAATACTGAAACATTTCAGTATAGAATAACACTAAAAAACTAGTAGTTTTAGTCAACGTTAAAACAACTTAGGGTTGTGCTTTGTCTTATAGACTGAGAATTTGCAAACTTTATATCACAAAGCCTGAAAAAAAGACAAGTTGATCACTATAAATATGGATTGCTTACAGCAGGTGTGATGTGGTTCAGCACAACTGCAAGAGGTAACAATGTCATCATCAAAAATTTTAAAAAAAGGCCAATTTTTTTCTTTCAATTAATGGTATCCATACTTAAAGATTTTGTCTTCCATTCTATGTTCAGAACAGTAAAGATATTCTTAAAGTGCTACACTCAACCTAACTGGAGCAGGAAGATTTTCTATTCAATTGATGTTGACTTATTTTTACATAAATTTCTCATTGGATTAGTCATCATGTTATAGAATGTCTTTTGCAACCAAATGTGGTTTTACATTCGGTGTAGTGAGAGCTTCTTAAATTAATTTTGCAAAATAATTATTTTCAATTGTGGTTAAGTTCTACAAATAATAGGAGCATCTATGGGAGCCTCATGCACATCAGTTTACTCATGCCTCAACTTGGGGTACTTGGAAGAAGGTATGGTGAGGAGCATATGTGAGTTTGGGGCAGAGATGGCCTAAAAGCAAAAGTATAATGATGATGTGCTGGTCATGTGGAGGGGTAGTGAACTGGATTTTCAAAGGTTTTTCAAAAGAGAATCCATAATTGTTTGTTTTACATTTAAATAACTCAGAGATGGAGAGTTTTTGGATCTTAGAATAAAAAAGGTTGATAATTACGACCTCCACCTTTTGTAAGGCAACAGCAGGAAATTCTCTTCTCCACACGACCAGCCATCATCCCCTTTCAAATATATGGGGGGATCCGATAGGTGAATTCCAAGATTTACATCAAAACTGTACAGACCACATGTGATTTGATAAAGAGGTTTGTGACCTAAAAGAGAGATTCGAGGAAAGGTGTTAAAACCATTAAATTATTAGATCAGGCAGTAATAGAAAAACTATGCAAGAGAAAGTATGAGATTTTGAAAGATAGTGGGACCCTCCTGCTAAATTATTGCCAGAAGAACCAATTTTGAGGAACCAGTTGTTAAAGTGAGTACAATGCTTACAACTAGAGGAAAGTAGAATGGGACATAAAGACGTCATCTGGTAGATAGGAGTACAATTTTTGAGGATAGTTAAGGTCAGAAAAGATATTCAGTAACATATTTTCTTAATTTTAAAGACCGAACAAGTGGAATAGAGAGTAAGCTGTCCATGTATCCATGTAGATTAATGAATATTGGTAAAATTAAAGGTGAGAATTGTAGAATTTGAGAGAAATATAGAAAAAAAGTTTCCTAATCCTTTAGCTCCTTGAACACATGAGACAATGTCAAGAGTGGACACTGGAATCAGATAAAAGTAATGTAGAATTACAGACTTTGAACATTTCTCAAACGCAGTCTGCTCAATGATATGAGAATTAAAATTAGTGTTTTTGTAGAAAACACATGCAGTTCCAGGTGATATACCAATCAACTAGTGTGAAAACAATTGGTTTATTATATAGTGTTATAGTGTATATACCTTTGAGTGGGAGGAGAGCTTATATGCACGATTGCCTATCTGACACAATGTGCCATCGCTTTGAAAAGATAGATCATGTGAATACTAACAGGCAGATGGTAAGAAGAATGGTGGAACCCAGCATACCTTGTTTTTTACGCATATCTGACCTGTAAATATCCTTACTACAATTTTATTATTATTATACAGGATTTATATGGCGCCAACAGTTTGCTCAGCGCTTTACAATATAACAGGAGACAATACAGCAACAATACAGTTCAATACAAGAGGAAAAGGAGGGCCCTGCTCCTTGGAGCTTACAATCTAAGAGGGAGGGGCTAGTGGTACAAAAAGGTAGTAACTGTGGGGGATGGACTGGATGGAAGAGTAGAAGATTCCATTATTAGCTGAGGGCAGGATAGGCTTCCCTGAAGAGAGAGGTTTTCAGAGATCACCTAAATGGGATGTATGTAGAGTATCCATTGGAGACATGAAGAACAATGTTCACAAAAACTGAAAGTAGCTATGGGATAGATATGGAGGAACAGCAAGACTATTCTTGGGAATTTATTGTTTGGACCATAATCTATTGCGGCAGCTGAGCTGGTTAATCCCTGTGCTCCACTGTGATCACCGTCCGAAAGAGTATGTTGATTTCACACTTTAATTGACTAAGTTCACTTCCAACTGCCTAGCATACTAGTGAGAGTGGAGTCACTGTTAAATGCATATAATGATATCTAAAGAAGGTAAAAGGACTGATCAGTGAATAGATATATGACTGTTGCAATGTCCCACTGTCAAAATGAGATATATGAAGACTGATCACTTGCAACATTTGATATGCTGCAGGATTTAATGTTTTGTATTTTTGCAATAAGAAAGATGATTCAAATCCATTATGAGTGCAGGTAAAAAGAGAGTTTATGGTGACGAACGTACTGATTAATCACACAATGATTTATATGCTGGGGGATTTAATTTTTTTTACAAAGTACCCACTTACATGTAGGCAAACGACCGCAAACAATTTTCAGCTGTCCTCCTGACATGCGGCTTCATGGAGTCCCAATATGGCGCGGACGCCGGAAGTGACGTCACCGCGTTCTGGAATAGACAATGCAGGGCACCCTGATGAAGTCACGTGATATTCGTGACGCAACGCGTTGGTACGTCCATTGTCTATTCCGGAACGCGGTGACGTCACTTCCGGCGTCCGCGCCATATTGGGACTCCATGAAGCCGCATGTCAGGAGGACAGCTGAAAATTGTTTGCGGTCGTTTGCCTACATGTAAGTGGGTACTTTGTTTTTTATCTTAATAAATTTGATATATTGCACTATGGAGCCTGTTTGGTTTATGTCTCTGAGTGGACGATAGAGGTGTTGCCAGAGCGGTGGAGTGCAGGAAGAGGCCTGGCTAAAGCTACCATCATTCCGGTCATATTGAAGGGATCAGCAGGAGATTGCCTGATTATCTGTTGAACGCTGGTTGGCCCTTGAGGTCATCGCAAGGAGGTGAGGGGGCACTCAGATTGGTTTGGGATTTCTGTGGCACGTATGACACATCCACGTGTTTGAAGAGTTCCTCACCTGTGTGCTCAAATTGGACTGTTATATCACCCCTTAGTCACTTACTAAGTGTGTGTCAATTTGCACCTTGACACCAGTGATAGATATATGTCATTTTATGCTTTCACCAAGGGGGTTGATTCATTTGTGCTGTTTTTATTCCTCTGTATGCATTGTCTAAGTGTATTATCAGCAGCGCTGCATCATTTTTTATATATTGATAGTGGGCTTCAGCCTGCTGTTGGCTGAAAACAGATCACAGGAGTGCAGAACGAACTGCACTCCTATGATTCATAAAAGTATAGCCCAAAATAGCTTTGGCTATACTTCTCCTTTAATTTACCTTTGGCCTATTAAGTTTGCCTGGAACTGTCAAATAGAGACTTCTAGTTGATCTATTCTCTTGTTAAGGTAAGACTATAGCTATATAAAAAAGGTAAAATTCTATGTTGAAGAAAAAAATATTGGATGCAACTCGCATTCTATTCATATAATGTCAGTTACTGAAATGATAATATGTGTACCTTGGTTACAGAGCTGTTTTTATATTTATGTTATACAATGTGGTGTTGTCTTTGGTGTTGGTTCTTGGGCACACAGAAGGTGTAGGGGGGACGTGGTAACAATTTTTTAGAACCCTAGTATTTATATAAAATGTTTTATTTGTTTTTTTTAATTCTATACAATCGGAAGGCAGCAATGCACTACTGTATTTTTCGCTCCATAAGACGCACCTGACCATAAGACGCACCTAGGTTTTAGAGGCAGAAAACAGGAAAAAAAAATTCTGAACTAATGGACTGCAGACACAGTACAGGAGATGACCAGAGACTGCGGACACAGTACAGGAGATGACCAGAGACTGCGGACACAGTTCAGGGGATGACCAGAGACTGCGGACACAGTTCAGGGGATGACCAGAGACTGTGGCCTTAGTACAGGAGATGACCAGAGACTGCGGACACAGTACAGGAGATGACCAGAGACTGCGGACACAGTACAGGAGATGACCAAAGACTGCGGACACAGTACAGGAGATGACCAAAGACTGCGGACACAGTACAGGAGATGACCAGAGACTGCGGACACAGTTCAGGGGATGACCAGAGACTGCGGACACAGTTCAGGGGATGACCAGAGACTGTGGCCACAGTTCAGGGGATGACCAGAGACTGTGGCCACAGTACAGGAGATGACCAGAGACTGCGGACACAGTACAGGAGATGACCAGAGACTGCGGACACAGTACAGGAGATGACCAAAGACTGCGGACACAGTACAGGGATGACCAGAGACTGCGGACACAGTACAGGGATGACCAGAGACTGCGGACACAGTACAGGAGATGACCAGAGACTGCGGACACAGTACAGGAGATGACCAAAGACTGCGGACACAGTACAGGAGATGACCAGAGACTGCGGACACAGTTCAGGGGATGACCAGAGACTGCGGACACAGTTCAGGGGATGACCAGAGACTGTGGCCACAGTTCAGGGGATGACCAGAGACTGTGGCCACAGTACAGGAGATGACCAGAGACTGCGGACACAGTACAGGAGATGACCAGAGACTGCGGACACAGTACAGGAGATGACCAAAGACTGCGGACACAGTACAGGGATGACCAGAGACTGCGGACACAGTACAGGGATGACCAGAGACTGCGGACACAGTACAGGAGATGACCAGAGACTGCGGACACAGTACAGGGGATGACCAGAGACTGCGGACACAGTACAGGAGATGACCAGAGACTGCGGACACAGTACAGGAGATGACCAGAGACTGCGGACACAGTACAGGGATGACCAGAGACTGCGGACACAGTACAGGGATGACCAGAGACTGCGGAGAGAGCACAGGGATGACCAGAGACTGCGGACAGCACAGGGATGACCAGAGACTGTGGACAGCACAGGGGATGACCAGAGACTGTGGATAGTACAGGGGATGACTGCTGACCTTTGGGGAGGTGGGGAGCGGGTACCTGAATTTGACAGATACCCGCTCCCACTTCCGCGGAGTTGTTCTTTCATCTTACCTGTTCCTCTATCCAGCCCGCGCGCTGTCTTCCCGGCTTCTGTAATGTCGCTCGGCATGACAGCCGGGTGCCCAGTGCGCATGAGCGAGAAGCACTTGCGCTTTGTGATTGGTCTGGCGGCTTCTGGGATCTGTCATGTGTCCCAGGTGCCACCTTACCATTCACAAAAAGCACCGCTTCCTGTGCATGCGCACTTGGCACCCGGCTGTCATACCCACACTACAGAAGCCGGGAAGACCGCGCCGCTGGATAGAGGAACGGGGTAAGATGAAAGAACAACTCCACGGAAGTGGGAGCGGGTATCTGTCAAATTCAGGTACCCGCTCCCCCCCCTCCCCAAAGGTCAGCAGTCATCTCTATAAGGTCCCGCTGTAGAGCTGAGCGGCCGGCCCGGTATTCTGACACGGCGGCAGTGGAAATACTGGACCGGCCGCTCCATAAGACGCACTGACATTTTCCCCCCTTTTTTGGGGGGAAAAAAGTGCGTCTTATGGTGCGAAAAATACGGTATTTTTCTGTGTGTCCTTTTGGTAGAAGGAAGTTCCCACTCAATTCGAGGTGTATGTGATAGAGGCAGCTTATAGTAGAAGACTACATGCACCTATGTCTGTATGAGTTGAGATATGTATTACAATGTGCAAGATTTTGTTAATTTTGAATGAGTCAATCATGTGGTGGCAAGGCAGGCACAAATTGACCTCAGATTTCAGTCATTCTGAATGACTGAAGGCCAAGGTCATTATGGGTATGCACCACTATTGACTACTCATTGTTTCACATTTTGACCCTGGTGGCAGTTGCACATGTGCCTCATTCGTGCTGTGCACATGCAAATGTTTCCACAACCACATTTCGCCTTGAATACGTCATTCATGTGACAGCAGAGCATGTGCAGAGTTACCTTGGCCTTCAGTCAAGCAGAATGACTTAAGGCCAAGGTCACTCTGCACCTGTGCCACCACCACTAAACATTGCTCTCAATTTGGCCCTGGTGGCAGAGGCGCATATGCAGTGGTGGACTGACCATTCAAACAATAGGGCACTGCCCGAGGGCCCGGGGTCAGTAGGGGGCCCCATGAGATGTCCCTGGTACCTTTCATTGGCTTTTTCATAGGCTTTTTTTGGGTGTGGGCAAGGACACAGGGGCCCCATGATCCCCTATTGCCCGGGGGCCCCATGAGTTGTCAGTCCGCCCCTGCACATATGGTTCGGTTACACTGTACTCATGTAAATATATAAACTACAGTTCTGAGTACAGCATATTGTACACCTATGTGCAATCATCGATATATCTCTAGTTTCTTTGTTTGCTTTTCTTGGTGGGCTGACAAAGCTGAATAGCCTTAGGAGACCTTAAGGCTACGTTCACACCTATGCAGTTTGCATTTCATCCGTTTCTGCAGTGCGCTTTTGCACATGCCTTTTTAATTTTTTTTAACTTGTTGCTAGGCAGATTAAAACGCAAAATGCATCAAAAACGCACTACATGCTTTTCTGCTGCATCTCCACTGAAGTCTATAGAACTAAAAATGCAAAATTTTGCGTTGAAAAAGTCCCTGACCCTTTCCAAAAAAATGCACCAAGTGAAAACGTGGAGATAGGAACCTGTCCCACAGGAAATCATGTTAAATGGACAGCTGTGCATTTCTGCAACACACGCATAGGTGTGAACCTAGACTAAGCTACAGTAATGTTGCTTACCCCATAGAGCTCCAAAAAGGAAAGTTTATAGGCTGAAGAGAACATTGTGTGGCTTGAACTGTATGTAGAGCTAAAACGTTTTTTTTTTTTTTTTTAGTTTTTGAAAAAGTGAAGGGTCAAAACCCCAGATGTTTAATTTTTGCTGTGCTTCATTGGGACAATTTCCCTTCACTTCCTGTACCAGGGGCACACCAGTAGGTTAGGGTAATTTCACATAAAGATTGTTTTCTCTGGAACATGTGTCACCATTGAAAGATGTCCCTTCACCCCATTCTGGGGGGTGAGTGGATTTCCTCTCGCTTTCTTTCTTCATGACAGTGGTCATCAGGACAGATAGAGGGGTGAATATCTCCAATGGGGACACAGCAAAAAACACTTTAATCCCTCCCCAACTATATTCAAAACGAAAAAAAAAAAGGTTTTGCTCAGAGATTCACTTTAACAAAGATTTTATGCACTCTTAATGCTGAAGTGTTGTACTATAATAATACAAGTCAGCATGAGTAAATGTGTAGCAGAACTAGCAGCAGTAGCAGAGATACCTGACCAACATATTTTCATCCCAGAACAAGAGAATAAGGTGACAATAGGATATACAATGAAGGTAATTTTGGGCTGAAAGGTAATTTGTCTTTTTTTTTTTCAATCAAAACTAATATAATGAAAATTACAAGGTACATATTTTATGTACATCAGAATTGTTCAAACACTTGCTTACCGTAACACCAGCAATAACTGGAAATTTTCCTTCAATCAGCTTCTGCATCATACAAATAGCTTCTTCTTTTTCATGGTCCTTAAATCGTTTCAGAGCTAGTTCTTCAATCGCATCGTTGAACTGTTGAAAAGTTATTGTTCTGCAAGACTTTGCCCTAAAACAAAATGCACAGATTATTAGCAATAAAGTATACGGAACATTGAAAGAACTTAAAGGACATGGATGAATCCTTTGACATGCTGCATGCAAGAAGTGTTTAAGGATTTTCTATCTTTTTTTTAAAATAAAACTGAAAAATCAGGTTTGGGAATGTGATGAACTTAAAAATTTTCCTGATTGCCAAGAGGATACTGAGAGAAATGTTGTGATGGATTTATTAACCTCCCTGGCGGTATGATTATTTCAGATTTTTGGTGCTGAAAGCGGTACCATTATTTTGCATGGAAATTTCGCGTTTTATACTGTAGGCCTGTAATTCTTAGGAATAACTCACTGAAATCTGTCCGAACAAGAGTCTATTAAACATCCCGGGGATGATAAAATTTGAAACACGAAATCATAAATTATAATTTAATAAATAATCATAAAAAATAATAATATAATAATAATAAATTTAATTCAATAATATAATCAAACCAAAAACACTGAAATTTGAAATATAGCGCCAAGTTCGCACATCACTGAGCAAAGTCGCAAAATCATTTTCAGTGTCTGATGACGAATTTCCCCCACGAATCATTATCACTCATTTCTGCAAGTGGTTCTGATTTACTATCGCTGTTCTCTAGCCGGTCTAAAAACCGCTTTTGACCTAAAGGGACGCTTTTTGGACACCATGGACATTTCTCAGTTTCCAGGTATAAAGAACAGTAAAAATGCAGGCAGGGCGCCGGGCAAAGCACTCGGGACAAAATGTATGTGAAATGGTTTGATACAGTAATGTTTTACTATGTGATTTTAGTGATTTTTGTGAATGTCCCTTTTTGTAATTTTCAAATTTCCCGCCGTTCCATCCCCCGTACGTCTCGACGCTCGCAGAGGACGGAACCCAGATGAAAGATGCCGGCATCCGTCGGATTACATTGCCGGGGACACTGCAGCAGGGACATTGCGGGAGCGCAGGACAAGGTAAGTGACCGAGGGATCGCGGAACAGCGCCGCATGGTAAGCCCATGTGAAGCTCGGGGTTACCACTTGTGGTACTGAAACTTTACCCCGAGCTACACGGAAATACCGCCAGGGAGGTTACATGGCAATAGTCTGTTTGCTTTGCAAGGGAATCTTCCCCAGAGCTTGGTGAATGTGGTGTTTTGCAAAGAATACCCAATCAAACGCAAGGAAAATAAAAAGAAAAACACATTTTGTTTGGCACATGATTGAATGATGGAAGTCAGCAGAGCATCAGCTCTAGGGAAACATTTCTTGCAAAGTGCAACTTACCTTTCAATGTGCACAGCCAATTGGCTTTTAGTAAATCAACCCCATTATGTACACAGGAATGCTTACCTAAAGGTTGAGGTACACACAAAGGAACCTTGGTTTAGCAGTAAATGATCAATTTCAAAATCAAACCTATTTTTTACACATACACTCTTTTGTAAATCTCAGGTAATTTAGTCACTACAGCCTATGAAGTATCAATCAACGGTACTGGGTTATTTTCATTTACTCTTCTGTAAGAGGAGAGATGAATAGAATATGAAAAGACTGCAATCTATATGTTCACAAGTAACATTGGTCTTTTGTAGTCCAAGAGTAATCCATACTGGTAGGGATACCAACTCAAATGCAGTTTCTTTTGCTAAAAGAGAGTGCAGAAACTCTTTTCTTCTTACCAAATTAAAGACTACTTCCAAACTCTTGGACTTCGACAACCATCAGAAGCGGCCTCAGTATCAACACACTTATGTCCATTGCAGGTACCTTGATCCAAACTTTAAATAGCTGAATGTCACCTGGACATCACTCCCAATCACCTGCTTACCTAAACTCCCAGAGCTTCAAGTTGTCATCATCACAAAAATAAGTATTATAAACCATGTTTCTTGACTTTTTTCCTCACTTGCCTTTGGGCATTTTATGGGTTTCTCCATAATAAAGGTGGACACTTTCAGATTACCTTAGCACAAACTTTACCTCATCTCTTTTATCCTCCCAAGTGTTTAATTTCTTGTTTTTGGAGTATGCATTTTTGTACAATTACTGTGTTAGGAACATATCAGTTTTTCCTAGCTCCCCTTATCCCAGCGTACTATGGGCCATCTTTCCCACCTTTTGACCCCAAGGATAACTAGCCTATAAATCAGGGTAGATTTGAATTAAATCAAACTGATTTAAATCACGATTTAAATCACTAGTCAGTAAGGCTTGATGTAAATCCTAGTTTTCTACATAAAGACTAATTCTTGCTGGTATAACTTTAATATGCAAGTAGATGAAGATTTTTAGAATAACAACTTTTCATATTAGTTTTTTTTATCCCCAGTTTAATAGGTTAATCATTCATGTTTGGACAACTTTTCTGTTGTACTTAGGAAGAAGAAAAATAATCATTACCTTAATAATAACAATTTAAATAGATTTATTCAACTGAAACAATAACATTCCAGCATATGTGATTTGCTTAAACATCCATGTTTGGTAACTAATTTGGCTAAACAAAATCTATATATTTGAAGAAACTTAGACTGTCAGCCCCTTCCTCCTCACACTTCGTTTCACTTTCTTCTTGTGCAGATCTATTCCACTCCAAACAATCAGAAAAATATTGTTTCTATTCTATTCACTGAACTTCTTGAAACTTAGCACTGAAGGGGTTGATTCTGTATTCATAGGTTTGTAGAAGTTAGGATGAAGGTCTTTTTCTTAACTCTGTTCATGTTATAACATTTTTGCTGTGAAGAAGAGGCATGTGATCTCCGCTGAGTCAAATTCAGTTTTGAGAACTGCAAAAGTAAACCGAGCATCTGTGATAATATCTTGTAGGCAGAGAAACTGCCCAATAATCTAACAAAAACCTCTGGAAGAGCATGACATTGTGAATGGATTCATGGAATTTATTTACCAAAAAAATTAAACATATACAGCCTTATTCTACATAATTAAAAAACTAATCTTTATTTCATGATGGAATAACCTTTGTATGGTAATATATTTTCCTCAAAAAGCATTTTATTCAAAAAAAAATCCGATTTAAATCCAAAAAATCCAATTTAAATAAAAAAAAAATCCGATTTTTTTTTGATTTTTTTTTTTAAAAATCATTGATTTTTATCCACCCTGCTATAAATTGAATATTGTGTATTGAGCCTGGCCCCTAAAATAACTTTTTTCCATCCATGCTCTGGTCACCTCTGATAGCTTAGAAGATGACTCCCTACCCCAAGTAGGGGGTCACCTTTATTAGTTGTAAAACAATTAGTAGGTGGGCACCCCCAGGCCTAAGAATTGATGTTATTGCTTGGCATACATTGTCATCATCCTGGGAAATGCTCCTATAGACTTTTTAGAGAGCCTCTTAGCTCTACCTCTTTTCCACTTCTTCAGTAACAACAGCTGGTCCTTACCATCTCCATTAAGGCTCATTTCACACTTGAGCTAAGCGTCCTTGGTGGCTTGTCAGGCTTTTTCTTTTTTTACTGTACTGACCAAAACATGCAACTTTGCACTTTTTCTTTTACTTCTCCAAGTGACAACCTTAAGCGACACTACGCTCAGATACATTCAGACACCACTGAATATAATGTAAATCCTAGAGTCACTCCTGGTGAAGCCTCAAAATGCTCAGGTGTAAATAGTGCCTAAAGTATATTTAAAGTAAAAAAACTTATTTTCAGATAAAGTAGGAAACAAGTAAAACCGCTGCCATTTTTGTTTGCCACCTGGGTCTCACTAGGGAGATTTCCTTTCACTTTCTGTCCTGTAGACTCAAAAGGAAGTAATCTTTGCAATGTGCATAAATCTCCTCTTAGATAGCTGTCATTAGAACAAGTGTCCCAATTAGAGGATTTCCCCTCTCTTCCTGTATTGGTGGCAACTAAAAATTTTGGAAATAACCTCATTTTTATTCCTGGTGACATTGATGATAAAGACAATTACAGAGAGTAAGCTCCAAGTTGCTTAGAAGAGGTGTGGCATTACTAGTCCTAGGGTTCTGGTAACCCTATTAACCTATTGGTGTTCACAATTGATGCTATTTAACTTGCGCATCTTCGGTGTGGTTTTCTTGGCAGCTTAACTTTGTGGCAGGCTGCAGCAAACGTAATGACGTCACATCAATCAAGCTCCGCCCTACGCGGAGCTTGATATGTGATTGCTGTTATGCTGTTGATGCTGGGTGTCAGCTGGACACCTCTTGAGTAAGTGCAATGAGTACCTAATAAAGGAATTGGTTTTTATAATATTGCACCATGAAGTCTTTCTGTTTCTCTCGAGTGCTTGGCATTTCCCCCCCATGGGATACGTTTTGAAAGTGGTCCTTTATCTATTGTGAGAAGTGATTTTCGATTAACTACAAAGTTTTTCATCCTGTTATTTTCGATCGATGAGGATCGATGTGTTGTAGAGTTTTCCGTTTCTGAAGATATATTTAGGATGATCTGGCCATTATATTATCAAGGTTTTTTGGTGAAAATTTTTCATATTTAGACAACTTTTTTTGCACAAAAGTTTTTTGCACTTAAAAGTTTTTTTAAAATTTTTTTTGTGGTATTGGCATATATATACTTTTTTTTCTGGACTTATGATTTGATGATTTCTATTTTATACACATTTACTAGCGCAAATTATTATATTATTTGGTACACAATTTATATATGGTGATTTTTTGCAGCTGGTACACTATTAGTAATGGTTATTATAATTTTGACCATAAAGGCCGCTATTTTAATTTTTTCTTATTTTTAGTATTTCAGTTCTCTTTTTAGAGGGATTTTATTAATTGGCAGCCCATGGATATTTTATGGATATATGGAAAAAGAAATGTTGATCTTAGTGAAGTTTTCAATCCCCATGGGTAATTCAAATAGTATCGATTTAGAAGAAAATTTCAAAAGTTAAAATATCTTTTTGGAGAAGCAAATTAAAATATGGAGGGATGTGAATACTTTGGAACTCTATCTAAAAGAGAAAATTACGTCCCAGCTCGAGATGAGATGGGATATACCTGCCAATGATGGGATGATGATAGAGAAATAATAGTAGATGAGTGGTTTCAGTTTTTTAACCGTCATTGTGAAAGCAGTTTTATT